TGTTCACAGTTCGAGTCTTGACAGGGAAAAAAAGTGCGCACTGCTGACGAGTCCCAAACAGGACGAAACAGCTCTGTTCAGTGCTCTTTATCGGTCATCACAAACATTTCCATCGCATTAGATAATCACACTTGTTCCAAAAGTGTCCTTGTTTGTTACATTATTGACTGGCCGGGATTCACATCACCCCAGGCACAGAACATCAATGAGGAATGTTGCGACGGAACGAAGATGTAAACATCGAACAGTTTGGTGTTGGGACGATGACGTATTGCGTGTGTGGATACCCGGGTGTCATGTATGCGTCAGTTCGAATGTAAATTCGGGGATGACGTCATGTGCGTGGTGAAAAATGATTTTACAGGTATGTTTGAGGAGGGGGTGGGTTATATGATCGAATTGCAGTTTTACTTACCCCAGTCACCCTATGGATAATTTTTTGACTATTTACTTATGTTTTTTCTTACCTTAGGTTTTGGTGAATATCGTAGATCATTGATGATAGAAAGTGACAGTTTGAAATTATTTTGACAAAATTCTAGATCCAGCATACAATTTGGTAATTAATTATCCGTATTACAGGAATGAAGTGATGTCATCAACATGATCCACATCAGTTTGATTGCTGAGTGCAAAGAAAGAAATACACTGATGGTATTTTGTTGAGCCTTTCTTGTCCAATTGCAAACTTGACAGGCGACGGGGTTAGTTAGTTCGTACGTTTTGAAAATCCAATTGACCCGATGCTGGTTGGAGCTACAAAGTTCATACACTTTTCAAGCACCATAGCAACACTTTCACACGATTATCATCCATTACATCAATCTCCAAAACACCCACCGAAAAGCGCTCGTTGTTGTCTGTGTGTGTGTGTGTATTAGAGAGTCAGTGTGGAGACCTTTCTCAGTCATGCAAGCCTTAAATTCCATGTCATATCTCTATCCTGTGTGTGTACGGGTCTGATTGTACTGCGCTAGTTTCCCCCTCTCGCCTTCCTATTGGGTCCTATTTCGCTGACAGCGTATCAATCATAATACTTGGTCGATACACTAACTATTGCTAACCAGATCGTGACTTAATTTAATAATGCTGCTTGCAAATCATATATGATTTTTTTCAGGTCCCCAGTGTAGAGGTACTGGCTCAAACTCTGTCCTTCAGAGTGCTAAACCACAAGTATGGCCATTTTGGCCATACGGCGGATTCACTTTCTCCTCACATCCTACTCCTCCTCCTCATCCAGATAAGTATGAAACTATTCTAATGAAAGTATTGGCAAGGAAAAACGACCAGATATTCCATGTAGATGAATCAATGAACATGACTATTTGAGCAATCTGCAGAATTCACAAACACGACGATACTACTCCTAAACTGCGGACTGGTTTGACAAAGCTAGAAGCAAATAATACAACTTAGATGGTATATACTTGAAGCAACCTATTCGGATTTTCACAAGCACCAGGCACGGTTGATGATCTTGCGTGTAGAGTTTACTCCTTGGGAGATCATGAATCTCCCCACCAGTTAAATACATTTAAATGAGATGGGACTCTTTATGATGATTGATAAACAATTCAGGGATAAACGTATAAAGCCATAACCCAGAGGTTCGCGGTTCGAGTCCTGATAGGAACACAAAAAGTACACACTGTTGACGAGTCCCAAACAGGACGAAACAGTTCTCTCTGTCCAGTGCTATTTGTCGGCCATCAACAAAGATTTCCATCGCATTTAAACGCATTTAACTAGCGGGGAATTAACGATCTCCTAAGGGATGAAACCCACACCCAAGATCATCAACAGTGTCTGGTGTCTGTGTCAATCACAGAACGGGCTAATCCAAACCAAATTCACCGTCTAAATTGACTGAGCTATTCATACAAGGTAATGATGACACGAACTTGACGGTTCGAGGTAGGAGTTCACAAAACGTGTGCACTGCTGACCAGCCTCGAACAGGACGAGATAGCCGTTCAGTCATTACAAATGCTTCCATCGCATTTAAACTAATCAAACGGTCACACTTCTTCTTTAAAAGAAAAAAACGCTCATACAGTTCGAGAGTATGTTTGTATGACAGATACTGGAGGATGAAGAAATGCATCTGGGCTTAGATAATTTGAAACAACAACTGGAAATGAACACGCAAACCGACTTGTACCATACCCATTTTGCCTCCTGTTGAAAACCGAAATCTCCCGGAATATATCTTATCCAGTCTGTCAACAGTGAAGCGTTTGTCCTTTCTTCTTCGTATACTGCTGTACGCGATAATGAACTGTTTTTTTACAGATCTCAGTCATCAATGTTGGTATCATCGTAATTATTGTAGCACAAGCAGTGGATAACTGGTTCATATATGCAAATCCTTTCTATTTATACTGTCACAACCTTTTCCACTGGAACTGAACGGTTTCTCAGACTGGTACTGTAGTCACTGTGGTAGCTTTTCTTGATTACATCAATGCAGTTCATTCAACGTTATATTTCATCAACAAAATAGTTTGGCAACCATGGAGTGGACATCCATTTTCCCATAAATGATAGTCGCTTGGCTAAGGTGAAATTTCCCCCCGGTGAAATTCAAGTATCTCTTGTAATTGTTTCATGCTTTTGACTGTGTACGGTTTTTGAGAATGCGTGGATACATCAGAGTATTAGAAGATTTAATTCAATTTAATAGGGAGAATTCCTTGTGTACAGAGCAAATAAAGCGTGAACTGTTAAGCTGGGAAGCACACTGGACATTTGTTTCGACCTGGTGAGGTCTCATCAGCGGTGAGACCAGCTTGAGCCCGGGATCTCACAGACAGAACGCGAACTTGCTATGCACTCGGTCACCGTACAGATCAGATCACATCGTTTCGCACTTTCTATTTCGAATACCAGTTGGATCGATAGCTTTGTACTGCAGCTGGTAAGATCCAACCAGATCGAAATAACTATACAACTGTACATATCACGCATACATATGACCTACCACAGAAGCTTCCCTCCGATTGGACAAATCACCACATGTATTTAAAAACAATTGTTTTGTCTAAGATAATCATAATCATCCATGTCCTTGAATTGCCGGTGACAACAAGCATTCAGTCTGAATTCAACTTGTTATTTATCGCCAGATCCGAAAAAAAATAACCAACAGAAATTCCCCGCGTCAACACGGATCAGAGTATCGCGGATTGTGGGAACGGTCACGTGAGACAATGTGCACGTGCGACACATTGTTTTTCGCCATTCTTTCGACTAGACAGAAGAATGAAGCGACAGTGTACAGTCCAGACAAGATTCAATCGCCACGGCTTGATCGATGTTCCCGTAGGTGATTCTGTGGTCTGTTTATTTTCTATGGGTGCCGCGATTCAGTTTCGTGATTCTACGTTTTGTCAAAGGAATTTAAGTAGCTAATAATCAACCGTTATGTATAGTCGATCTTTAAATCTTTACGGATATGAACGTTCGATTAGGTTAAAGGTGTTGGAGTGTTAAATGCTACGGTAAGTGAACAGCATCGGTTTGCTTTGTTACCGTTTTTCAATAAGTAAGTAAATAAGTAAGTAAGTAAGTAAGTAAGTAAGTAAGTAAGTAAGTAAGTAAGTAAGTAAAGTGAATAGACGAAATCACTACTGCTGTAGCGAAAATAAATATCTGACACATTTATCTCCCTTGATCGCTTGTTAATGCAAAAAAAGACAAATATTTTTTAAATGTGGCATCAAAAATGGAAGCATAAAAACTTCAATATTTTAGGTGTAAATTCTACTCTATGCACTGAAGAACAATCGGTCCCCGAAGAAGAAGTGTCATTTCGAACGTAAACAATTAGGAAACGGAACGAAAGATGGGTTAAACGTATTTTGCATACTGCAACGGAGGTATCCATTGACGTAAAAAAAACAAAGAGAGAGAAGGGTAAAAATGACCCGCTACTGGGCGTTCGTAAATGTTCGACAGTATTTTGCATCATCATGGCTTAAACACAAATTCTCTTCCCATTTGGAATGGATAATATGTAAATTCCGCCAGCCGACCATTCATCCGATCGTATGATGGCACTTACGAGCTAGATAACCCCTCCGATAAAACAGACCACGTATTGATCCAATATTCTAGGATCTGCACAACCATGGACGCGCGTATGTACATATGCGCGCTACCAACTACCACAACAACAACAACATTTGACGACCATAAAATGTTGATCGTTCGATTTAGATGCGATCGCTTCGATCGACCGCTTATTTGTGCAGTTAGTGTGTGCGATACCACTCTGGGGCTTGGCCAGTTTTTGAACGCACATTTGTAGTCCTCACATCTCCGAACTCGCCGATTGGTTCGTTCATTCGCACCGGCTGTTGCACACATTTCACACCTATGCTTTACTGTGATTGGTCGATGCCCGTTTCGAGCGGACCACCTACACACTTCCGTTAGTCCACACCTCCACCACACTCTCGCCAATCCGGACTTATGGGAGGCAGAACGAGGGTAGACGGAGCGTAATACGGATGGCGGCGCAGAGGGAGTGGAAAATCAAGCAAGGCTAAACAGCGGAACAGCCATTTTTCCGCGTCTTGTCTGTGTCTGGATGTGTGTGCGCGTGTGCAGATACGTATAGGAGTAAGCCAAACATACACACACACACACAAACGACTCCCACGAATTAGATCAGCTCGATTTCAGTCTATGAGGGTGGGATTGGTTCTGTCTACTGATACAAAATCGGACAAACACAGACACACACCAACTAGCACACTAGAATGTCACCAAAACGCATGCGATGTACGCATGTGCTGATGCCTTGGTGCTGCCTCCGTTGGCTTGTGGTCTGAACTTCCTTCGGTCACGACTGCGGCCGTGTATGTGTATGTGTGTGTCAGTGAATACACACGTGAAAGCGACTGTCACAAAGTGAGAACCGACAATTCTTGGAGGTCTCTTCCGAGCCACGCGGACAGCACAGTTCAATCGAACACATCAGCGTGTCAGCATCTATGTTCTACCATCCGTATGAAAACGTGGATACTAGTAGTAGTAGTACTCAACTTAAAACCAGCGTCAATAAATTCTCTATTCCTGGGAATGATCAGATGACACCGGATACACTGGAACGCCCAAATACTTATACAACTGTCAGTTTGAACGCGCTTGAGGACTTTTCTATCCAATACATGCAACAGCAACAACAACAACAACAATCACGATCACAACCACCACATTCCCAACACGTTTTTCAACACTATCCAAGTGATGCGAATCATCCACAACGTCACCATCATTCCCAACCCCCATCGCTACAACAACAGCAACAGCAACAACGCCCGGATCATTTTGTATCACCCGACCCCAGTGCTTATCGGCTAGCGCCTAGTCCAACACAAATTTCACCGCATTTCGATTCGCACACTATGGGACACAGTATTGCATTCCCAAACTCCATTCTGCATTCCGTACTGCCCTTGCCGGAAGAGATTACCTCTTCACCGNAACAACTCATTCAACAAATCCCTTTCCACCTCCACTGGATGAAACCCATCCGCAATGGTCCAAAAGTTTATCGCATTGTGCATCCACATCTCCACATCTTGTCAATCATGCCGAGCTCAGCTATGTACAACCAGGGCAGTGGAACACGTCTGCCATCTCCGTGACAGCAGCAGCAGCAGCAGCAACAACAACAACAACGGCTACTACAACAGCCGTAACAACAGCCACAACAACAACAACAACACCGAAGAAAAATGTGTGCTCGGTCGGTGGCACTCTATCCACATCGACACCTCGGTCTCCGGGGGAACCGACATCTATCATGCAACCAGGGCATTACTACTACGATCGATTGTTTCAATTCGCGCAACCGGGAATGGGCTCATTGGAATCGGCCAGTTACAGTCCCCAGTGTCAAAGCAGCTACAATGGAACAAAAGCGGATCAAGAAAACGAGAGCAAATCCACGATGAAATACGAAGCGGATGCCCTGGCCGAACTGCGCAACGACTCTAGCTGGATTTATAAACCATGCATGCCGGGATCCGGTGGTCTGTTAAATGATCCCAGTTATCCACCCCACAGTCATCACGCACCACATACCCATGGTCATACTCCTCACCATCATCATCATCATCATCATCATCCGCATCATCACCATCATCATTTGCCACTTGTGATGCTTCAGACAAACACCAAATCGGACTACGAGAAGAAGAACTCGCACAAAACAATTCTGTGTACTTCACCAACCACCTCATCCTCCTCAGAAGACCAGTTGAATCAATGTGCAAACAGTTTGACAAACAGTTGCAGCAGCAGCAGTAGCACTAGTTGCAACAGTGCGGTTGGATCCGGGGTTGGTGGTGGTGGTGGTGGTGGTGGTGGTGTCGGTGGTAGTACGACAACCACAAACTACCCTAGCAGTCCGGGTGAATCGTCCAGCGATCCATGTGTGACCTTATCATTAGAACGTAGCTCGGGAATTTCCACAATTCCCCTGGATACAGATCCTCGACTCAGTGGTGTCAACGAACAAACAGCTGATGTGGTTCAAACCATTCAAGGCCCAACCGAACCCTCGTGTTCGTCCCACGGGAACCTTCCAACTACCGTACCGAATTCAACGTATCCTCAACCAGGCGGTCTTTGTGTTCCTCATTCACAGTTAGTCGTTTACGATTCCGAAAGTGGTCAAGCGGCCGACACTGAGATTACCGCGATGCAATCTACTCGGGAGCAACAAGAACAACAACAGCAGCAGCAGCAGCAGCAGCAACAACAACAACAGCTACACACGGATTCTATGACTGACGGAGACGAGGACGACGATGACGATGACGTGGATGAGGATGAGGATGAAGAGATCAGTGAGGTGGATTTGACTAGTGAAATGGGAAATTCCGTGCTGGATAAACGGGGAATCCTGACCGGTGCTGATCATTCCGCATCGCATGTGGATGCTTCTGTGTCTTCCGGGAAAGAACCGGTCAACAGTGATACCGAATCGTGTCGAAAATCTAGCACAAGTGAGTCTCTTCACATTTCTGTTCCTTTTTCCGGAGGCGGGGAAGTATGGGATCACATTTAACGTATTGATCGAAATAATGTATATTTCTTTAGAACGACTGGACAAAATTGGTTCGGATTGTTCACTTGTTCATATTGATTGTTCTAAATTCTGTTACGTAGCTCTCAATTGGAAATATCAATCAATTGTGCTTACCAAACTTGTTTAAAATTAACGATAGTACAACGAAACTGCAAATTTTGCTGACTTTTAACTGGAATTTAGCTCACAGTTACTTGTGAGTAGTGGTGTGGGAAAATTCATATTGATTGATTAGAACTGACTATCCTTCGTACTTCACCTTTCCACACAATCCTCCGTTCATCCAATCAATCATGCGTTTAAGTTTCGCTCTGATTAGAGCTCATTGGTAATGCATATACACCGTCTCACCCGGGATTTGAACTCTGGATCCATGGCGTGGAAGGTGTGAATAACATCACTGTGCCAACCAGCTCCTGCCAGAGCTGAATTCAATTGCTAATTCATGCTTATTCAGACGTCGTCTTCAATGACAGTCAGTCAGTTCAGTTGACCCGACAGCTACTCACAAGTAACTGCGCGTTAAACGCGGTGTGTGACAATTCAACCCTTAGTCTGCATAGAGGTCCTGATTTGGCGGGCGGATTTTAATTGGAGTTAACAGAGAGTCAATTGTGCCTCCCTTCGTTACTGTTGGTGCCATCAAATGAACTGATCGGCTGTCTCTGAAGATGACACCTGAACAAACGAATCGGCAATTCGGTTTAGCCATGATATGAGCTTGTTAGTGCAGTAATAACACAAACGACTTCCATGCGATAGGTCTGGAGTTAAAAGCCCGGATGGGACGGTGGATATACACGTACTGATGAGCTCTAATCAGAAAGAAACTCAGGTCTAGTGCTTTCGTGTGTACGATTGACTGAACGAACTGAGGATTGCGTGTGACGATGAAGTCCAGAGGATAGTCAGCTCAAATCAACACTCTTGAATGTCATTATTGAACAGCTGTGATCTGAGCATGACTGATGTCGTTATCTACTGCTCAGATTTTATTTACATAACGAATCAGACATCGGTCTTGTCAACAGTGACTTAGTGTGACCGGTTTAGCTTATGGTGACAATTTCCCGGATAATCAAGACAGCCAGATTTGACGGCTACACAACTCGTTACAGTATAAATAAATCAAACACATTTTGAGCATGAATTTGCTAAACTGATGTATCCCACGAAATGTGCCCCCGGGGGTTGTGAAGAGCATCTATCCATATCCTAGAAATATGATAAAAATAACCAAGTGAGTGTCCACGACTGAAATTCTCAACGCTCATGCTTACTTCGAATTTATTTTACTGTTGAAGGCTGATTGTGTTTAAGTTATGAAACATCTTTTCACATTTCTAACTCTGCCTCGACCGGGTTCGAATCCGGGCTATCAGTCCATTGTCCTGATATTCGTTACTCCACCCCTGACTGACTGGGTAGTAAGCTTACGTTCTACCTGTGAGGTCCCGGGTTCGATCCCCAGTTCGGTCGATGGATTCGCACTGCAACTGATGAGACCCAACAGCTGTCCAATGCGTCCGAGTTTTTCAGCTCACGTCTCATTTACTCGTGGAATCTATCGTATAAATAAATCAGTTTAGCAAAATCAGAATCAAAATTTGTTTGACTTCTATCTGCGATATAATAATGCGTTTCACCGCTATAATACCAAATTCGGTTTGAAAATTTGATGAGATGAACAGTAGCGATTCATGCAGTATATGATTCTAACAGAAAGTTACTAATCCAGGTGTTAGCAGCCGATAATCGATACGGACATTAACCCCTCCCCTCCCATCTTCCCCCTGTACATTGTGAATAGCGAAGCCTAACTTAGGAATTCATTAGGAGATGAGACGGATATGGCAAATCGATCACAACGATCGATCAATGTGCTTGTACACACACTATAAAAATGTTTGGGTTATCATTTGAAAATGAAGATACAGTCTTTCTCCTTCAGACCGGGAAAAATCCAAGGGAACAGTGGAACCGACGTAAAAGTATATAGACTATCACAAATTTAAGGATATGGCACGATAAGCGTTGAAAACAATTTTCCAACCGGAATGTAAAAGTTTTCAACATATTTCAACCAAGAACGATTAGATTGCCAAATAATTCCGAGGTTTGTTTTTACGGAACTTGAAACATTGGGTCCCCTTTATCCAATTCGATAGAGCAGAGAGAAGACAAGAAGACTACGAATCGTTAGCATTTATTTTAATTTTCACAGTCACTACTACCTAAAACAAGTACGTTTTGCTAATCCTTGTGATTCAACGGACAACATTCAAGGGATTTTGATTTGGGGGAAATTTCCTGTTTAATCTCCACTGAACCACTGTTGTTTTCAAAATTTTGTTGTATAAAAACTGGGCTGTTTTACATCTTAGCAATTGAGCAGATTGAAAGAAATATTAGTATTTTACAGAATCAACCTTGAAAATGATGTTACCAATAACCGTAAGTTCGGGTTGGCTGTTAAACATTCTAATATCGGCGAGCCTATCATCAGGCTAAATGGATCCCTAACACATAGATAATGTCTAGGGAGAAAACCAACTGGAAATCCTTTTTTAATCTTGGGATTGTCGAGAACAATGAAGGTAAACCTAAATACAACGTTCACAGCCTGTATGAGCACGATAAAGTTGAAAGTGATGGGTAGATTGCTCATCTACGGAGAAAACAAACTAGAACTAACATCGTCCCTAAAACCTGGAAGTTCTGACGCAAGAAAGTGTGGATTACACGCTCTGCTGGAAGTTACTAGTTACCAGAAAGATATTGAATGAGAATAGTACGATCGAGTAATCCAAGAATGTCACTGCAATCTGGGCAAAATATGTAAACGGTGCCAAAGTGTGACAGAATGAATATCGTGAGAAATCGCATACGGATTGGAAACTAATGATTTGTCGGCAAACCGAACAGGGCCATTAGTGCAAGGAACAAGATTCGTCCGGATCACAATGTTCTCTAGAAAGTTTTCACTAGTGTCATTGTACCAGTAACCAGTTTACACCATGTGGAGCCCTCTACAAGGTGGGGTGAGTATGGTTACTACAGTGGCGGATCTCTAACAATCGGTGATACTTCTGAAGGACAACTAAGTAATAGCTCTGTTCGGTACAGATACTTTAAACGGAATGTGAGAAAATAAATCACGGTCCATGTGGCTTGCTGAATTTGAGCGGCTTCCGTACATTCAGCAACGTACATTTAATAATATAAGTCACAGTAAGCTTTATGCACCCGTAGGGTGAATTTTTAGCGACGGGATGGCTCTCGTCCAACACAGACACAGTCACGCACTCACAGTTTGTACATAACATTGCGGTTGGATACACTGTTGAGGGTGAATATGTGACACTTAATTTCTCCAGTGCTCAGTTCGGGCTCCTACTGGTTTTTGTGCACTTGACTAAACCAGGTCAGGTTTTGAATGTTTCCAACCGTGTGATAACCCTGAGGGCTAGTGATGAGATAATCGAGGTCCTTGACCTGCAACAAGCTAGCAAAGATGGGTTGTGCTATATCGGGTAAATGGAAAATGAAAAATGGTCTGATCATTTGCCCAGGGGCCGGGTGGGTTGTATGCTTGTATTCCGCCTGTGAGGTCTCGGGCTCGATCTCCAGTTGAGTTGATGGATTTGCATTGCAGCTGATGAGACCCAGGCAGGTCGAAACAGCTGTCCAGTGTGCTTCCTAGCTTTTTAGTTCGCGGTTAATTAGCCATATACACGATAAATTCACATTTGAAAAAGTAACTAAACTAAGTTCAGAAAAGTTGTTTGTATCTCAGGTCTAGTCAACAAAATACATCCAGAACTTGAATACATACATAGTGGGGGGACCGATTTTATAAAAAAGAACTTTCATTCTGTTTAAAGAATACTCAAGTGTTATATATCCGATCGAGAGAACAAACGGGTTCAGCTCTAGCAATATGATGTTTCTCACATCCGGGCACGTGACTAGTTGGTGCCAAAGACTGATATTATGTGAGGATAAATTCATGGTATGTCCCCCCTTCTTTCCTCTCCCAGGGTGATCCATGATTTTCGTAGGTGTTTCTTACGAAATAACCGTGCAATAGCGTCAATGGTATCTGCAATGAACATGGAATAACCTGATCGACGAATCATCTTTGGCCAAATTTGTAGATGTTAAGTGGAGTTTTAGCTCCATCGCAAGACATTTACTATGCTTCTTTTTGATCACAAAGTTAAAACAACACAGCAGTGTTAGTTCAGACTGCGAAACAACTATCCGACGATGGGCGGATGACTGTATAATAGAGGTTAGGAAATGATCATCGATCAGCCGGATGGTCTTCCGCTAAATACCACCAAGAAGGGACGGAAAAACACGAACGCTCATCCCAAACATGACCACCTTGTTCAAGTGCAAGAAGAACTTGAGCTTTGCACAGTAGGAGCAGATGAGTCGGTATGGAAATTGGTCTGATGATGTGGAATGGAAAATTAACGTTATACGCTATGGGAGAAAAAACTGAGACACGAAAGGAGACCAGCTCAACGAATAAATTGCAGGTAATTCGGGAAGAGGAACATTCAGTGGAACAAAACAGGGTTGAATCAATTGAAGAATGAAGGGGAAAATGAGCAGTGATCCAGACAAATTGTCCCTACTCTTGTTGTTACAATAAGGCTAATTAGTATCATAAATATTACTTATGGATGACTTCATCATATTCCATCAGGGATGTGCGAAAGGTTTGCGTGATCTGTGCTGTTTGGCTTTCACCGACATCCGGACAGCTTCCATGATCAAATCCGACCACCATGATCGATTCGGAACTCATGGGACCAATTTAGTTTCGGTAGTTCTATGCGTCGTTAAAGTTCGCGATTCAACCCCCCCCCCCCCAA